CAAAAAATTTAGAGAAGATGAAATCTTTAAAACACTACTGTTGGATTAAAAGAAAAATTAAAAAAGAAAATTACATAATGGTTCTTTATGATTATTACGGAATCTCCCTTGTCTTTAAAACAAGGTCAAACTCTTTAGATCTTGAAGGTAACAAAATGGGATGTAAAAATTACAGGGGTAATGGAATTTGTGGAGTCTGCAATCAGACCACAGAAGACATTTACCACGTTTTTGTATCTTTGTAGGTCATCGAATCATATAAGAAACGAGTTATATTTAACATTAGAAACCTCACTGAGAAACAATGTTGAATTATTGAATAGCTTCCTTTCAGCTTGATTTTGGAGGGGAGATGCCCCCGCAGTTTTCCGGGGGAAGGGGGGGGGAACTGGCCCCCTCCCCGTGTCCTCGCTACTGCTGTTTATCTATTTCATTTCTCAAAAAATTCTCCTGTTTCATCTTCAGCTTTTTCATGCCATAGTCATAAGTAAGTTCTTCAACAAAACAATTTCCTAATTCTTCTTTTTTTAGATTTTCAAGTTGTTCACGATTATTCCATTTTACATTGCACTACTAGTATATAGGGCATTGGTCGGTTGAGTCAAACTACAAAGAATACACTTATTGCAATTAATGATGTCAATCTAAGTATGCAGTTTAAATAGCACAAAAGGATAATATGCACAACATATCATTTAGATGAAATAGTTTCAAGATAACAATGTAAAAAAACACAGAAAAGATGAACTTTGTACCAGTTTTTATTTATTCAGCACTTCAATGACATACGTTGTACACGTCAGTATCAAAGAATGGATCAAATACATGATTGGAGGACACAGAAGTGATGATATAATATTGATGACACAATACCACACAATTGATGACACAATACCACACAAGTGATGACACAATACCCCACAAGTGATGACACAATACCCCACAAGTGATGACACAATACCACACAAGTGATGACACAATACCGCACAAGTGATGACACAATACTGCACAAGTGATGACACAATACCGCACAAGTGATGACACAATACCCCACAAGTGATGACACAATACCACACAAGTGATGACACAATACCACACAAGTGATGACACAATACCACACAGGTGATGACACAATACCACACAAGTGATGACACAATACCATACAAGTGATGACACAATACCATACAAGTGATGACACATTCACTCATACAGTGATTACAAAGACCTGACCAGCGTTGTGACCTTACATTATTCATTAATTGAAGCTAATAGTAAAGCGCAAGAGTAATTGTGTAGTGGTCGTTCAATTTCATGTAAACAAAGTATTTTACATGCAATGTAAACAAATGCATGACATGATGACTGTGTCACTTATAACACTCAAAATGTCATATTAATTAATTTATTATGTGTCACAAAAAGACAATTATTACCATTAGTAACATCACAAGCCATACAATAAATAGGAAAAAAATGTATATGAAAACCACAGCTTAACTTGATCTATAATAAATACAATTTATTGATTTCTGTGTCAATAAATTTTGCAATAATGTTTTTATCACACTGTTTTGGTAAATGACGAATCATGGCAAAATATAAATTATTCAAAAACACCACACTCACCCCATACATTGCATTTAAAATAAGATAATATATTAATTTAGATATTATAACTAAAAATGATCTATAGTACTGATTTAAAAAATCCCAAAAGAACAATTTACGTGTTAGTACTGTGTTAGCCATTGTTTGATATGCACCAAACAAATCACAATGGAGAAATGAAAGGATTATTAAAAATTGAATAAATTTTAAAACCACTGCAAATTCTTGATACTTTGAGAAGAAGATTCTATTAATAAATAACAAAGTGGAAAATGAAAAAAAAAAATCAAACTTGTTTCCATGGAAACAATGGATTTGTGATTTAGCATCAGTCTGCTCTGGCTATCATTCAATTTGAAAATTTGCCAAATTACAGTTCATAATCCAGTGAGTTATTAACATGATACAGTTCCTGTTGTGCAATGAACAGAACTGAGACTAGTAAACCATTTTAAATTCAAATTTGAAACAAAAATAAGTCAATACATTTAAAAAATTAATGTATGAAGTTGATTGCAGTCATAGGATGAATACAAACTAGACTGTTATTCACACTAGAATATCTGGCTCTGATGATATAAATTAAATAAATACTGGGGTAGGTATTTGTATAATAACCTTGTGTACTTTTAATAATACATGATAGCATAATTTGGGCAGGAAAAATACTGGGCCAGAATTTTTGACAAAAGATTACTGACACCTGGTTCCCATGAACCTATTTCTGTGTTTATTTAGGTCTAACAAATGTGACAAACTTTCATGTATGTCTTGAAAAATAGACATCCCAGTAACTTCAAAAAATAAACTTCATATTTTATTGTGATTGATAAGATTTCCATATTTTCACAAATATCTTCAAAAAATAAACAAGCGAATCATAAAAAATCAAATTTGGGCAAGATTTCATACTGATTAATATGATATCCAAGTTTGAAAATGATTAAATGAAAAATGCTGTAGTTATTGTTAATACAAGAAGCTGAGTTAACAATGGAGACGACAATAACAAGACATACAATTTCCCCTGATATAACTTTTCCTTCATATTACAATAAGGGCAAGCTAACACAATGATCTACATCTAGATCTACTATGTTCAATTATTGCCACGATCTGATCCGTAAAACAATTGACAAGCATCAAGGTTCCACATTATGTTCAATGCTTGTATCAGGTTTGAATGAAATACGTTTATGCATGACTAAGATCCCACTCTAGAATGGAAGAAATGGCCGCCATTCAGCCACTTAATTAGATCATAAAACAAAAACAAGATCATATACATGACATGATATATGACCTGTGTATAAAGTTTGAACCCAATTGGTTAAGGCATGACTGAGATACAGATGTTGATGCACACATTCGTGAAACTATAAATACCTTCGTCAGAATGAGGACTAAAAACTTGTTCTTAGGTTTGTCAAATAGTCAGCCAGATTTTTAAATTCAAATTTCTTGTCTTAAAAATGTGTTAGCACATCCATCCATCCATCCAAGCCTGATTCTCCATTTTCCCAACCCTCAAAAGCATACTGAGAAAGTTGAAAGAATAATTTCAATAGAGAAAACAGTCCCTCAAACTTTTCATTTCACAAATTTCTGAGTATAAGCAAACATTAATGAAAGCTGGATACCATAGACATGGTTGTTATGACAACAGCAATGTACATCACAAATTTTAATCACAGTTTAGTTCATTCTTAAACACAAATGTTTGTTCTCATCTATAATCTTGATTGTTTTCTTCACAAGTGCAATCACTGCGTCGTCTACATGTGGAGTTTGTAAAAGAGACCGAAGGATTTCCATACCACCTTCTTTTGACACCATACTGCAATAACGATCAGCTGAAAAGTACACAATGAGATATGAAATAGAGATATTAGTATGAAAGAGCACATACTACTACTACTTGTATGTAATTCTGACATAGGGGTTGTATGTGAGGCAATACAAGTTACCACAATTATGGCGAATACATGTTTAGTCAAATGGAGGTATTTCAGTATGTGTTATTGCGTACACCCAAACAACTATCTGTGCAAATCATGTTCAAGTTTCAAAGAATCAGCAATCAATCAAAAACAGAACAATTTGACAAGCCACAGACAAATTACTGTTTTTCGCAAAGCATGCTCTACTTGTTCTATAAATCTCGTCAGAGAGCTGCTGAACATTTGCATACACATGTCCATACCGTAGTAGGTCAGATGTTAATATTCTTTATGGACTGCATACGACTTTTGCAGCCGAGGTCGTGCGCCAGTAGCGCCCAAGATTGTGAGGGTATGTAAGCGGAACAACTGAAGTCATCAAAAGCCTTATCCAGTTCATAAAGGTTTTGACGTATATACAGGTGTAATTACAATTTGACCACGGCGTGACCTCAAACACACGTAATTTAGAATGTTTTGTTTTGATTGATGAAAGCCAGGCATGCTAGGCAAGGTGTGATATGGGAAATTATTCCCCTGATGTGAGGGCGCACTGCCCATAGCGTTACGAGGCTGGGCAATACAAGGTATATGATACTGGTGGCCATATATATTAATATGCAGTGCAATAGTTTTCTTTTGTGTCCATGGTTGAAGAATGCATACTTTTAACATTCAAATTTTCTGACAAAGTTATTTGAAAATCTAAAGATAAAATGAATAAAGAATCTCAGTTGTATGTGAGGAAACAAGATTGGTTACCACCACTTGTGGACTTTCTGCTTTTTACATCAAGGATTTGTATTTCTTACAATTGTGCTGCATTTTAACTCACTACCATCCCTAATGTAATAGTTGCCTACAAAATATTATTTCTGAATATTGACAATACAGTTTACAAAATATAGATAGACTCACGTTTCTTAGTACATGTGTGCCACAGCGTCCATACAGCCCAGAGTTGTGCTGCTGCATTATCATGACATTTCAATAAACATAAAATTGGTGTAAATGACCGATAAGCTACAAGTCTACCAGCATATTCTCCCCACTCAAGTACTTTGCCATACTGAAAATTAAGATACATCAATTAGTACCACACAATTGTATGTAATGAAAAACATTTACTAGATATACAACAATAATTCATGTCTATTTTGACTTTTGTTCATAATAGTTGTATGGGTAAATGTATTTTGTTTACATTTGAGAGT